TATTTTGATTCTCTAGCTATGCGAGCTCACAAATTTTCCAGTTATTTTGGCCACTACCGCAGAAGTTCCGCGAAAAGCCGCGTGCATTGAAATAACCGCTATAAGTTAAAATCGTAAGCTCAGTGAGCACAGAAGCCGGTGTTGTAATGGTTTAACACTTCATGTCCACACGTGAAGACGAGTTGTTCGATTCTCTACTGGTCCATGCTCATTTGCAAAAGATGCTCTCTCCAGAAAAATCAAGGTGCTTGACGATGAACCTACGTTGCTTCCAGAAAAATTAAGGATGTGTGATGCGTGTTAATCACAAACACTTTGTCTTAGCTGTTGCCGCTCCTAGCTCATGATAAAGTGTGTTACCAAATCGGAGTACTCGAGGCTAACTTATTCAAGTTGGGATAGAAAAATGTAACAAATTAAGCGAACGAAAGCGAGTTGTGGCTGAATGATAGGAAATTTGTATAAATGGCATGCAGGCTTATCCAAAGGGATCAGACTGTATTCGAAAAATGTAGTCTGAATTTAATTGGTCCCACGAAGCCTGCATATCAATAACAGCACTGAAATACGTAACAATCGTGAAAGCATTAGTGCGCCACAACTGAATAAATGGTGACAAAAATGGAATGGAGGCAGTATTTTAATTAGAATGGTCGTTTTGGTCATGACTTGCGCTTTCTTGGAAAATAATAAATTTTTGGCATTTTCATTTTAAGAAGTAAAAGTACATTGTTGCTGAATGCATTGTTGCATTTGCAGACAGACTCTTTTCATAGATAATTATGGACCTGAAGGGAGTCGAACCCCACGTTTTCACTGTCTCAGATCCCTCAAATCGTGGCGTTTTATCCATTACACTACCGACCTCATGCCTATAGAGCACTGGAGCATTTATATCTGTACGACCACCCTAAATTGTCCAACGTTGTTACCAGATGCAGCGCACACTTTCTTTTTCATTTTCCTGTCTGATTTTGCTGAATTTCTGCAACAATCACCGTCGCTTCTAAAATTTTAGACATTTTTTTATCAAAAAAAGATGTTTTGCAAAGTCTACTTTTTAAGTTCTGTTAGCACTTCCGAAAAGTTTGCTTTCCATCTTGAACTTTTCAGGAAGCAGCAATGGCGAAGTGGTACAGTTCGGTGGTTGCAACAGCTACAACAAGCAAGTGCATTGAATGGATGGGTGGCGTCGGATATACGAAACACTTCACTGTTGAAAAATATTACCGCGACTGCAAAATTGGTATAATTCCTTTTGACCATTCTGTTTCTGACTGTTTTCTCAATAAATTGTCCTTTTTCGAAATTTTGAATGATTCTCTGACAAAATTGGGGAATTTTAAAACTTATGTGATGACACTTACTCGATACTTTGGCGACTTGAAGAACCGATCAATTTCAGGAACAATTTACGAAGGAACATCGAATATCCAATTGTCAACGATTGCTAAAATGATCGATCGTGAATACAAACACTCATAGGACCAAAATATGTACCTCAGAATTATCATTCCCTTTCTCAAAAAGACTACTGTCCCGGAAGTCTTTATCTTTATGTGCCATAACTGAACACCACTGTGATGTCTTCTATAGCTTGTACGAAAATACTCAGATGTCTGCAATTGTTGCATTTTTTTTCACTTTACGTCGAATTTTTGAAAAATTTTTTTGCTTTTTTGTTTAATACATTTAAAGACTACAGCCCAGTGTTCACTCCGAGCAGTTAAAACTCATACTCTGGATTTCCATTTATGTAGCTGACAAATCCTCCATTTGCTTTAA